ATCTGTTTAGAAAGATCTAACAGAAGATTATGTCTTCTTGAGCTAACCATAAGTACCCAAGAGAATTTACATGTTACCTTTCCCCAGAAGGTTCATGACCACTTAAGAATTTACTTAATAGCAAGTTGTTTTTAGTATGGAACTCATTAGGAGGAAGAGTGAGATGGAGAAAATATAAAACACTAAAGGATAGTTAAATGTAACTAAGACACTACAGAATTAGAAAGAAATAGAAAAGGAAATATAAGAATTTCAACTGAGAACAAGTTTAAAGGACTATGGGAAATTAAGTTAATCAAAAGTAATGACTATTAAAATAAAAAAAATGTACAATAAAATGAGATTTTTAAAAAATAGAGGGGAATAGAGAGACCAGCTAAAATTAAATACAATATTTTTAAATAAGACAAAATTGTGTAATAAAAAACACAGAAAATATAAAGTTGAAAGACAATTTATGGCAGAAAAAATTGGAACTGGGTAAGTAAATAAACAAGGTTGTTCTGTATTCATTATGCTCCAGTCAATTTGTTGCCACAAATTTTTGCTTTGTAATATACCCTTTATAGCATTTAATAAATACCTCAAATCTCCTATGGTTCAGAAACAACATAAGTGTATTTTTGTTAAAATATTGCATGCTTGTAGAAGAAAAGTCTTATGTATGTAAAGTCACTTTTCAAATGTAAAAAATTAAAATTACTTTTAAAATCAGTTAGTAAATTGTCAATAATTTAATATTTTCTTGATAAAAGATCCAACTGTTATTTAATTTTGAATAATAAATAGGTTACTTAAAGCCATTAAATCAAAATATTAATATCTATAATTTTTTAAAAACTCTGAAGTCATCTGCATAAAGTCCCAAGTAGGTCATCTTAGAATTAATACTAAAATTACTCAAATATAGAGCAATACATACTATATTTTAAAATGTAGGGCGTGATCATCACATACTTTAAGAAAATATTATTAATTTATTGTGTCTGACCAATTCAGCAATATAACTGAAAGTAAAACTTGAAAATGCCATTTCATAACATGGTAATAGGTATTCTATGTATGCTTTAATTTTCAGTTATCAAATTAATTGTTAAATTTGGAAAATGATAAATATGATTATTTTGTTTACATTATTTTTACATTTTTCACTTCAGTTCAGTTTAGTCATTCAATCATGTCTGACTCTTTGTGACACCATGGACTGCAATGCGCCAGGCTTCCTGTCCATCACCAACTCCAGGAGCTTGCTCAAACTCATGTTCATCAAGTTGGTGAAAAAACCATAACTTATACTAATAGATTTTATTTTATTTTTTTTACTAATAGATTTTAGAAATAGCTTTGATCTATTTCCATTTTACATAACCCAGTAGTTATTCCTATCTGAATATGAATTAAAATAGCATTCTTTTGCATTTTCCAGTCAAATGTCTATCTTTAACATGTCTTTGAAAGCAGCAGGTCCAAAGTGCTGTGGCTCTGGGACTGAACCTGTAGAAGTGATAATCACAGCACCTCTGTAGACAGCTTCCCTAGCTGCTTTGTGTTTCAGTTTTCTCATCTGTAAAACTAGTAAGATAACAATAAAACAAAATAATAGTATTTACAAAGATCATATTAGACAGTTGGCTGAAAGTGAAAGTCGTGTCCAACTCTTTGCTACCCCATGGGCTATACAGTCCTTGGAATTCTCCAGGGCAGAATACTGGAGTGGGTAGCCTTTCCCTTCTCCAGGGGATCATCCCAACTCAGAGATCGAACCCAGGTCTCCCGCGTTGCAGGTGGATTCTTAAACAGCTGAGACACAAGGGAAGCCCAAGAATACTGGAATGGGTAGTCTATCCCTCCTCCAGGGGATCTTCCCAACCCAGGAATCAAACCCGGGTCTCCTGCATTGCAGGTGGATTCTTCACCAACTGAGCTATGAGGGAAGCCCAGACAGTTGGCTAGTGACTGTCAAATAACCATTCACTGTGTGTTAGCTACTATTAACTATTATTATGAGTTTATGGTTACCTGGTGAGTCCTTGACTACTTTTTAAAGAAAAACAGCTGAATAATACCAAAGACATCCATAGGTACTTTGAACTAAAAATATTGTTAACTCTTGTTAGTTGGCTGCAAGTGATACAGATGTTGGAACATATTACTTCAAGAAATTTGTGAAAACCATTATTTAGCATTTATTGTTCATGAACATCTCATTGTATTCTTTATTTCTCTGTCTAACCCCTCAATGTCTAAGCTAAGATAGATTTTTCTTTACTAGGATAATTAAATAAGTAATAAGCTAGGGCCATTACTACTCAACCAAGCAAACCTTGGGAAAGTCATGTCATCTCCCTGATCTTTACTTTATTTACAAAATTAAAAGGAAACTAGTTCCTTCCTCAACAGAATAGGATCCCCAAGCAGCAGTGATACTTTCTGGAAATTTTTGTGAAATGCAAAAATCACAGCCCCCACCACAGGTGACTGATTTGGAATCGATATTTTGACATCTTCCTCAAGTGATTGATGTGCCCATTTGAACTTAAGATCACTGCTGTAAATGACATTGAAGTCCCTTTCTGCCTTGTTTACACATATAATAAATCTTCTGAGATTTATGAAACAGATGACACATTATTGGAGTATGAGAGTGTAAGACGGGATACTTGAGGACAGGGAGAGAAAACATTCCTTCACAGAGACTTTGCAGAGACTGAAGACGCCAAAGTTCACTTTGTGCAATTAACTGCCACTCAGGTGTAGGTTCTAGTGACCTGAATGTTTGACAGTTATAGCTTTCCAATTGATCTTCTAATTTATAAGCTCCATCTTCAAAGTATTTAAAAATAAGTTACAAGTATAGAAAAAGAAAAAAAAAACCTAGTTTCGAAATGATTGTCTGCTTTTCAGCTTGTTCATTCACTTCCAAATAAGTGTAGCAGAAGATGAGGAGTCTGTCATGCTACATTTTCTGAGGTTGCAGAGTTGGACATGACGTGGCAACTGAATAATAATCCTAGATGCAGGAAGAAATTGCCTTAAGAGCATTGTTTAATATGGAATTTTTTTGATGTGAATAATGTAACCAATTTAAACATGAAATGATTAAGATTGGAGAAGACTAATTTGAAACTATTTTCAAAATTCTTACAGTTTGTTTCTGGACATTATTTTTGAGTTCAGAGCATATATATTAAAAGATCAATTCAGAAACTATAACTGTCAGATATGAAAGTGTCTAGAACCTACATTTGAGAGGCCTATTTCTCAACAAAGATAAAGAACATGATTTCATTTAAGGACTGTGCAGAAAGAGTGTAGTAATGAAGTATTGAACTGAGTCTGCATGAAGTGCTCAGCCCTTTGTGTGTTTAAATGTAATCTGTGAACCAGTAATCTGTGACCTTGTCAGAACAGGAATGATTGAAGCAGCAAGACTGGATTTGAATCTTGAATCTGAAGTGCAACCATAGATGAAATCTTAGCAAAGTTCCTAAAATTATTTGCACTGTCTGTTAATTTGTTATAATAACACAACTCTCTACTTAATTAAATTAACCTATACTAAAATCACTGCAGATGGTGATTTCAGCCATGAAATTAAAAGATGCTTACTCCTTGGAAGGAAAGTTATGACCAACCTAGATAGCATATTAAAAAGCAGAGACATTACTTTGCCAACAAAGTCCGTCTAGTCAAGGCTATGGTTTTTCTAGTGGTAATGTATGGATGTGAGTGTTGGACTGTGAAGAAAGCTGAGCACTGAAGAATTGACGCTTTTGAACTGTGGTGTTGGAGAAGACTCTTGAGAGTCCCTTGGACTGCAAGGAGATCCAATCAGTCCATCCTAAAGGAGATTAGTCCTGGGTGTTCATTGGAAGGACTGATGCTGAAGTTGAAACTCCCAATACTTTGGCCACCTCATATGAAGAGCTGACTCACTGGAAAAGACCCTGATGCTGGGAGGGATTGGGGGCAGGAGGAGAAGGGGAAGACAGAGGATGAGATGGCTGGATGGCATCACTGACTCGATAGGCATGGGTTTGGGTAAACTCCAGGAGCTGGTGATGGACAGGGAGGCCTGGCGTGATGCGATTCATGGGGTCGCAAAGAGTCGGACATGACTGAGCCACTGAACTGACTGACTGACTGACTGAATCACGCATAGCTCCAACCACAGAGCAGGCATTCAACAGATATTAGCTTGTCAGTATGCATTCAAGTACTGAAGCACTCTCATGAATGCATTTCTTTTTGTTTTTCTAGAACTGCGTGATTGAGTCAAAGACCTTGGTGTGGGGGTCTGTGTTTTTCTATGAACACAGACAATGAAACTCTCCCCCAGGACTTTCTCCTACTGGGCTTTCCTGGGTCCCAGATCCTTCAGCTCTCTCTTTTCATGCTTTTTTTGGCTATGTACATCCTCACAGTTGGTGGTAACATGGCTATATTGATATTGGTGAGTACCTCCCACCAGCTACACACACCCATGTACTTCTTTCTGAGCAATCTCTCTTTCCTGGAGATTTGGTATACCACAGCTGCAGTCCCCAAAGCCCTGGCCATTCTCCTGGGGAGAAGCCAAAGCATATCATTTACCAGCTGTCTTTTGCAGATGTACCTTGTTTTCTCATTGGGCTGCACAGAGTACTTCCTCCTGGCAGCTATGGCTTATGACCGTTATTTGGCCATCTGCTATCCTCTACACTATGGGACTATCATGAACAGCCTCCTCTCAATGCAGCTGGCTCTGGGCTCCTGGGCCTGTGGTTTCCTGGCCATTGCAGTTCCCACAGCCCTCATCAGCAGCCTGACCTTCTGTGGGCCCCACACTATCAACCACTTCTTTTGTGACATTGCACCTTGGATTGCCCTGGCCTGTACCAGCACACGGCTGGTGGAACTTGTAAGCTTTGTGATTGCTTTTGTGGTCATCCTAAGTTCTTGCCTTATCACCCTTGTCTCCTATGTCTACATCATCAGCACCATCTTCAGGATTCCCTCAGCCCAGGGCAGAAGCAAAGCCTTCTCCACGTGCTCCTCGCATCTTACAGTGGTGCTCATCTGGTATGGCTCTACAATCTTCCTTCATGTTCGCACCTCCATTAAAGAGGCTTTGAATCTGACCAAAGCTGTTCATGTCTTGAACACCGTGGTAACTCCAGTTCTTAATCCTTTCATCTACACTCTCCGTAACAAGGAAGTAAGAGAAACTCTGCTAAAGAAATGTAAGGGAAAATAAACTGCTTCCAACAAAACAGACCTCTGTCAATTGTCTCCATATCTGTCCAGGGGCTCCAAGTGAAAATATGAAGAAAAAGGCAAATCTTTCTTGATGTAAGGAGAGGGGGGAAGAAAAACAGAAAAAAAAAATCAATCAAAACAAATTTAAAAACCTGTATATACTTGTGCTACTTTCTCATATATGATAGGAATGGAAGTTCTTGGTATAAGCAGACTGGACATTTTTTAAGAAAAAAATCTTCATATACTGAATTAGGTTTACCCTTGGATTTCATTTATAAAATGAGGTGTAATAGTCAATGATAAAGGTGTTTTACTTTAAATTCTTGTTCCTTTAAAAATAGCTTTGATGAAATATGTGAAAAGTGAAAACTTTTAAAACGTATGTTTGTGAAATAGGAAAAGGTTAAATAAATAGAAGGATAATTGAAATCATAGTGTGCAATTATTTCAACACACTATTTTTTGGATAAAATATAGTAAAATATGTACATATAAAAGTTGATAATTATAATGTGAGACCTTTGTTTAACAAGGATAGTGAACAAAAACATTCTAATAAGCAAGTGATGTTAAAAGTTAAAGGTCAAACAAAACTGCAGGAGGGCTTGGAAAAAGCAATAAATGTTTCTTACGTAGCAAAATGCTAGTCTTGAAAAGGAAAATGCTAATGGATTCTGTTAGTTAGATACACAAAGCTTCAAGGGAAAATGACTACAGAAAAAATGATTATCATAGTTATTTGATTTTCCTTCAAATGACTCCAAGATATTTATTTTCAACCATTAACACAGATGAAACATTAAGTTTCAAAAGGTATGTCTATGTTGAAAGTTTACTTCTTAAATCACCATAATTCAACAGTGTACACCTGACCTGCTGCCATTATTTATTTACTGTGAGCATGAATTTCAAATCAATGAAATCCCTAAACTCTAAAAACTCACAAAGGATCACAAGAAAAATTTTGGAGGTGATGAGTATGTGAAGTACCCTGGTGTGCATTGGCAGGTGGCATCTTTACCACTGAGCCACTTGGGAAGTCTAATGGTGTCCTGGGTATATGCATACATCCAAGCTAATCAATATGTATATAGTAAATGTATATCTTTTTGTAAATCAATTGTACTTCCATAGGAGTTCCCAGGTGGCGATAGTGGTAGAGTTGCTGGTAAGGTGGTAGAGTCACAGGTTTGATCCCTGGGTTGGGAAGATCCCTTGGAGGAGGGTATGGCAATCCACTCCAGTATTCTTGCCTGGAGAAACCCATGGACAGAGGAGCCATTCAGGCTATAGTCCATAGCGTCCCACAGAGTCAGACATGACTGAAGAGACTTAGCATGCAATCATGCAGAGCTAAAAAAAAATAAATTTCTAATCCTAGTTTTTGAGGATTTCCAAAAATCAAAATTTCTAGTAAGAGTCAAATTGCTATTTTCTGAGACAAATAGCATTCCTGCTTTGATGAGTGTGCCCCAACTTAAAAAAAAAAAAAGCAGTTGTGGTATAGTTAATTGTAGTGAAGGTTATCTTCATCGTCTCACTCTCTTCTGGTGCACACCTCATTATATCAAAACCAAGGAAATAGTGTTCAACTTTTAATGTGGATAAATGAATGAGTCAGTTGAGCACAATACTGCATACAAGATTTAATGTTATGTGAAGAAAATAACTAAGAATGAACAGGGTAACTTGGGTATTCCTCCAATGTTGATTTAAAAACAGCTTAAGTATTATTTGCATGATATATTATCAAGCAATTATACCTCATTTCTGGATATTTGATTTATTTTTCTTTTTCAAATCAATAATTTATAAAAATTCAATTAAAGAAAAAAATACATTTCTATTCAGAATTATCCCATGGTGGTAAATTATTGGAAGTATGAAATCACTGCTAAAGATTTTTTGAGTCTTTCAATTTATTTTGACAAACTTCTTTTTAATAAAGATAGTATTAATGGATATAACTTCAAGTTTGAGAAATCTGTTTCACAGCACTCTAATTTATTGAATAATAATTTGGGGGTTTCTTTTTTTCATTTAAAAAAATCTTTCATCTATAAACATTTTAGCATCATTAATTAAAAAAAATTTATCTGTAGGGGTTTAAATCCAGCCTCCCTAAGACGTTACCACTAAGGCATGTGGATTATTTTGAGCTAAAGTCAATGGAGACCCTGTGGGATCAAGAGAAATTACTGTCCCTTTCTTAACCACTTAGAAGAATTTAATTTGGGAACTTTTCCAAGAAAAAGAATTATTATCAGAGATAAATTTTATCTAAATGATTCCATCTATTATTGTTTGTTGTTAAGTTGCTCAGTAGTGTTAAGTTGCTCTCCAGGCAAGAATACTGGAGTGAGTTGCCATGCCCTTCTTCAGGGAATCTTCCCAACCCAGGGATTGAAGCTGCATCTCCTGAAAGTCTCCTGCATTGTAGGCAGATTCTTTATCTCTGAGCACCCAGGTTCCACCTATATGGCAGGGCAAATATTTAATTATCAGACTACTGTTTTTCTTTTTATTGACCTATGAATGACCCTCTTGTACTTGAAAACCTGAAGGCCCAGTTTCATTTCCTAGCTCAAGATAGACTGTAAACCTCATTTCATCTTTCTGTTTTTGAATCTCTCATGTAAATAGGCTCTCTGAAAACTTTATGTATGTGGAGTTCCCATACATATGAATTAGTATTTGCTTTTCACTGGTTTATCTGCCTCATGTTAATTCTTAAACCAGCCAGAGGAATTTAGAAACTTCTTTTTCTTTAACATTTGGCTTAAGTCAGCAGAATAAACTTCCCTAGGCTTGTGTGCAGCTGATAGATCCTGGGACATTTGAGAAGTGCTGGCAGAAGATAAAGGTCTTTGTCACATTAGTTCTTAGGATCTCTATCTGCTGCAGGGTCTATTGGAAAAAAGAGTGGCAAGTTTTTTTTAAATTTTTTTCCCCCTCTCATTCTAAATTTGGAATAGCAGGAGAAAATGTTGTGGAGCTATTTTCTTGAGTTTAGCAATTTTAGTAAATTTGGTAGAATATGCTTGACTTTATTGATTTATTTCTTCCTAGATATGATCACTACTTTTCTTTGTCTTTGGATTTTGTGCTGTTTGTCATAAGAAGGAAAAACTATAGTGTATGAATACCCTATCAGCCTGATGTTCAAGTCACTATCACAAACTGGTGAATTTTAGATGTTTTTATTACATCTTCTTTTATGTCCTATAAGTTTGGATTTGGGGCCAATGAGAGTATTCCCTCTGGTATCCACTATCCACCACCATAAAATGCACTTACTAGAATGTTTGACCTGGTGGCTTGCAAATGAACTGGTGTTCCAAGAAGCTTCATCCAGCCATACAAGATTTCAGAGGCACCTATCAGGGAACCTAATCTATAGGTGACTTTGTGCTCACAAACTTTTTATTTATTTATTTTAATTTGAGGTTAATTACTTTACAATATTGTAGTGGTTTTTGCCATACATTGACATGAATCAGCCGTAGGTTTACATGTGTTCCCCATCCTGAACCCCCCTCCCACCTCCCTCCCCATCTCATCCCACTGGGGCATCCCAGTGCACCAGCCCTGAGCATCCTGTCTCATGCATTGAACCTGCACTGATGATCTGTTTCACACTTGATAATATACATGTTTCAATGCTATTCTCTCAGGTCATCCCACCCCTGCCTTCTCCCATAGAGTCCAAAAGACTGTTCTTTACATCTGTGTCTCTTTTACTGTCTCGCATATAGGGTTATCGTTACCATATTTCTAAATTCCATATATATGCGTTAGTATACTGTATTGGTGTATTGGTGTTTTTCTTACTGACTTGCTTCACTCTGTATAATAAGCTCCAGTTTCATCCATCTCATTAGAACTGATTCAAATGTTTCTTTTTAATGGCTGAGTAATATTCCATGGTGTATATGTACCACAGCTTCCTCATCCATTCGTCTGCTGATGGGCATCTAAGTTGCTTCCATGTCCTGGCTATTATAAACAGTGCTGCGATGAACATTGGGGTACACGTGTCTCTTTCAATTCTGGTTTCCTTGGTGTGTATGCCTAGCAGTGGGATTGCTGGGTCATATGGCAGTTCTATTTCCAGATTTTTAGGAATCTCCACACTGTTCTCCATAGTGGCTGTACTAGTTTGCATTCCCACCAACAGTGTGAGAGGGTTCCCTTTTCTCCAAACCCTCTCTAGCATTTATTGTTTGTAGATTTTTGGATAGCAATCATTCTGACCGGTGTGAGATGGTACCTCATTGTGGTTTTGATTTGCATTTCTCTGATAATGAGTGATGTTGAGCATCTTTTGCTCACAAACTTTAAAAAAAAAATTGTTTCTGTGTAAAAAAGAGCCCTCCCTGGTGGCTCAGATGGTAAAAAATTTGCCTTCAATGCTGGAGATCTGGGTAACAAAGTCTTAGTTTCTTGGACTTTGGGAGTGAAATCATTGGATCCTGGGGACTGCATTAGCTGTCTCCTCTCCAGGAATATCCCTTGCATCCATTTTAAAGATTCATTCTAAGCCTGTGAAGTTACCTATGGGTCTTTCTTTTTTTGCTACTTAAACTTTTTATTTTGTATTGAGGTTTTGCCAATTAACAATGTTGTGATGATAGTTTCAGGTGAACAGTGCAGGCACTCAACCATACACATACATGTATTCAGCCTCCCCCAAACCTCCCTCCCACCCTATGAGTCTTTTTTAAAAGGCTTATTAGATTGTGTCATTTTGGGGATTAATATATTAATGGAAATTCTACTTTTCAATGAACAGACAATGGATATTTTTAATTGGAAAAACTTCTTTATGAGAACAAAAAGCTAGAGAGCTCTTGTTCCGAGGATCTGCCTTATTGATATTAATGGGAGAATCAAATTAAAAAGAAAAATAAAATAAGAATAATGACTAATTGCTGGTATTCCCTTAAAAAGATGTAAGGATAAAAATTAGAACAGAAAAAGCAGTTCATTCATCAC